TGAATTAATGGGTGCAGCACACCAACATGGCACATGTATGCATAAGTAACAAAGCTGCACATCGTGCACATGTACCCTAGAACTTAAAGTATGATAAAAAGAAAAAGAGATTACATGCCCAATTTTCAGATGTGTTGAAGAAAAGCTTGAAGGAGGGCCATTGAAAGCCCATACAAATGTCTTTGTGAGAATTAGGAAAAGGTACCCTCTCCAGGTGGATACAACTTCAAGCAAACAAGCACAGTTAGACTAATTTCAACCCCCACTTCTCCCTTTTATAGGGCATCCCTGTCCAAGGCGGAACCTGCACAACTACATGTGGCTGTGGCTGTGATCTTGCCATGTTCTGTCCCAACAGCAACCAACTGCAAAAGAGAAAACCATACTGAATAAAAGGTCCCTCATAAATCAGGGGGAGGTGATGAGCTGTAGGAACTTTTTGAAAGAGCTTACCCTTAAAGTTAGATGTGTCTTTCCAAAAGCGGAAATAATTTGGGCCCTTTCCTTTGTGATTAAACTCACAACATCACATCACTGAAATGTATAAAGGGGTATGTCATGTGCAGAATTTGCTTTAAAAGTTGTGATGCTTTTAGAAAATGTTTGCTATGGGCTAAATAATATGCTGAGCACTTTGAATGAATTATCACCGTAATCTCCACAGTAGTAGTATTATACCCATTTTACCGATGAAGTTTTCCTGAGATCATTTTGCTAGAAAGCAGCAAAGGGGACATTTGATTGAGGTATGCCAAAACCCATGATCTTAATCATAACATAAAATTACCTTTTGTTTGTGAAGAAGAGAAGCAAGCTTTTGAAAGCTCTAACTCAGTGTTAGGATTCTGCATTATAGTAGACCATTAGGAATTCCAAAATTGAGCTGGTACGTAAGCCAGAATGTGATTACTCTGGTCTGAATGTTTGTGTCTGCCCAAAACTACATATGTTGAAATCCAGTCCCTAATGTGAGGGTATGAAGGGGTGCTCCTTGAGGAGGTAATTAGGTAATGGGGGTGGAGCTCTTATGAATGGAGCCAGTGCCCTTATAAAAGAGGCCCCAGAGCGATCCCTCATTCTTTCTACCATCTGAGGACAAAAAGGCACTAGACACTGAACTAAAGCAAGAAGGCACTAGATACTGAATCTGCCAGTGCCTTGATCTTGGTCTTCCCAGTCTCAAAGCTGTGAGAAATAAATATTTATTGTTTATAAGTCACCCAACTTACGGTATTTTGCTCTATCAGCCTGAATGGACTAAGACAGTGATGTAAATACCAAGTGACAAATCAACTTTCCTGTCTGTCTCTCTGAGGATCTGATCACTCAGGCCTTAATTTATGTCCCTGTGCAACACTGAACTGAAGAAATGCAGAGATGATTTTTGGAAAATCTGTTTGCACTGTTGCACTGACCTATAGGTCAGTTTGAATCTCACCTCCTCTCTGAAGCCTTAGCTGGATTACAACACCGGAAGTCATTTCTCCCTCCATGGACGTCTTCAGCATTTGTGATCGGTACAGTTGACTTGGCAACTTATCAACACAGCTATGTGAAAATTTTTTCATTTGAAATTTGAAGTGGGCATATAACTTTTGTGTTGTTTAAATGTCAGTGTGTTTATTTCTCATCTCCCCAGCCAAGTAGCAACCTCCCTGAGGGCAGAGATCATAGCTTATACTTTAGAAACCGCCTCAACTGTGCCTTGCACAGAGTCAATATTCCTTCTGCACTGTTCACTGATTTTACAATGATTTCAATTCAGTATGCATACTGAACCAAGCCAAATTCTAAGCATGTTTTAGATTTAGAGTGAGTTTTTCAGGAACCCCTGTCCAGTAAGTGTTTTTGTCATCATATCTTCTTTTGGAATTCTGTAAGTAGGGACCTAAAGCTCTCAATTATCAACTCCAGTGGTTTTTCCTACCCCTTCCTGTGACTGAAGTCTCAGACTGAAGTGTTTACTATCTTTAGCAGCTTCCTTAAACTCTCTCTGGTGTGGACTGCCCTTCTCTATTTGTTCTTAGGTGACAACCCACTATTCTTGCTATAACGCTATCCATTAACTCCTTCGGAAAGGTGACAGGAAAAATACTATAATTTAGGATGTTGGGGTCAGATTTAGGTGAAACTTCTATCTCCACTTGGGAAAGTTATTGAGCATCCTAGGTCTCCATTTTCTGATCTATAAAATATAGAGAAGCATATCCGTCTCATAGGATTTATCTGAGGAGAAAACAAATTAGTCAGGTAAAGTATCTAACCTGACCGTTGGCCCACAGTAGATGGCAATAAGTTTAAGTTTTTCCTCCTTAAAATTTCTTCTCTTTCTCTCCTCCCCTTTTATTACTACTTTTCTTCTCCTTCCCTTCCCTAGATATAGATTTCCCTATGTGTTCTGTCCCTGAGTGATCTCATGCATTTTATATCCCCTGAAAATTATCCTAACTCTGGATTAGAGTTTTCAGTCCTGGTTACTGATAGGATTTTGTTCCTGGACTTTCAAAAATGAATATGTCCCAGGCTTACAGAATATCTATCATCTTTCGCCTATCTCCCCACTCCTTAAAACAACTGTGTTCTGCTAATAGGGCCACAGGCACTCAGGAGCAAAATGTAAGCCGCTGCTATCTGGTCACAGAGCCTATGGAATCTTCTGCAGCACCTCTTGAGTCACCAACACCATTGCCTCCCACCTGCATGACTTCTGTGGTTTACAGGACCTCTTCCCACCTTCAGTGTCTCTTACCCAGTTCTTGATGCTCATTGTACCTGGATTAAGCTTTCTAAAATCACATCTTAAACCAGGTCACTTCCCTGCTCCATATTCTTAAACAGTTCTCCATTGCCTATAACTAAGGTCTCAGCAACTTGGTCAAGGTCTCACCTTTGAGCCTTGACCTCTTTTTCAGTTTTATTCCCACCATACGATTGCTCATTGTGCCAAGAACACACTTTGTACTCTGCTGCATTTGTGTCTTTTGTTCCTGCTGTTTCCTTCTAACTCCTCCAATCTCTCCTTGCTGAACTCTTTCTCATCCTGAAAGACCCAGCTTGAAGGTTGTTGGCACTTATTGGTAAAACTGGCTCCTTCCTTGAGCACCACCCTACCCAACCATTTTTCAAGTTCCTCCCTTGACTTCTGTGCCCAGACTTCTCCCCAGCTCCTGCTGCAGCGCTGCTTCCCACACTCCACAGAACACTCTAGGTCAGCAGCTTCGAAATGGTGTGATCACAGAACACCTCAATAATTAAAATGTGGAATGAAGTACACAGTGCAGAATGAACTGGCAAGCCAATTAATCCCTGAAAGAAAGGTCAGAATTTAGCCCATACCCTTTTATAAACTTATAAATGGCTTCACTAAGTTAGATCTTTGTGTGAGGTGCATTATCTTGTTTCTTCCTAGATTTTGCTTTCATTGCAGCACAACATAAAATTTCATCTCATGAAATGCAATGTATATAAAACAGCAAAGAGAAAATAAAAACTTCTGTGTTGTTTTGTTTTAGAAAATAAAGCTTCCTTTTCTCCTTGAAGTACTCAGTCTTTTAACTTCTTTGATTTAGGTGCCATCTAAGAACTACAAGACTCAACTTTTTATTAAAACTTCCATTTCTCAGCCAGAGAGTCATAGAGAATAAAGTTTATGTATTATTAATGTTTAACATGCAATAAGGGATGAATAACATTACAAATACATGCTGAATTTATCAGACACAGGGCAGCAATCATTACAGATGAGATATATTAATGATGCTAAATAATGTCTATGTATCCAACTCACTCATGCATTCAGTGGCCTTTCCATGCAGTTTCCTGCCTTCTCAACATGGCATAATTTCACACAGGGACATTATTGCATAATACCAAAGACAACGTGCATGTTTAGTGTTTTCTTATATATAGTGCAGTTTAGATTAAAAAGTCAATAGAGTGATTATTATTCTTGCTGTAGTATACTCATTTAACATCTCATGAAATCCAGGGTTCCACAGAAGTCAGCTTGAAAACCTTGCCCTAGTATGCTTGCATCCATTCACATAATTTCAGTTATCACTTGCCAAGCCACAGATCAGACATCATCCAGGAAAATTTTCCTGGCCAATACTAATTTGAGCAGTTCTCAATTTTGTATCTCCACAGCTCCTGGCAGTGCTCAATATATACTTGTGGAAGAAAAGATGGAAAGGAGGAGAAGAATGGGGGATATTAACTAATTCTTACAGCATTTCTGTATATGTAGGGTCTGTCATGAAAGTGATACAGGGGAAAGTTCAAAAAATCACTTAGCATAAAATTCCTTGTTCAAATTAAATATGAAAATAGTTTTAATTATTAATGTTAAGGGTCTGTTGCATTAAAATAGACTTTTAAGTGAGATTTTGTAAGTGGGATATGTGCTATTGTTAAGAAACATAATCTAAAATTACCAAAATAGTTAACTAAGATACTAAAATAGTTATTAAAATATTACTGTTATTAAAATAATGACTAAGATAGTAAAATTGTTTTTCAAATAATTAAAAGGCCATAGTCTAGATACGTTCTTTTGCTGCATTTATAATTTTTTAAACTCGCAATTTACTTCCTGAATTTTTCCCATTTGGGTTTCATTCTTCCTTGTGCCAAAACATTTAGTCTGTTCAATTAAAAAGGGCAAGCTGGGAGGTTGATGGAATTTTATTAGTTGTTGGTGTCTTATTGTTAATTTTGGTCCTTACATATGATTGCCAGCTTTGGGACCTAAATACAACCTAGAGTTTCTCTCTGAATCATAGGGAATCTATGGTTTCTGCCCATGGGTTTAATTATTATACATTACAGCAGGTAAGTCATTTCGAAGTAGCCACTGATAATTACCTTGCTATTGTTCTGTGACTAATGTCACTTACTGCTTCTTAATAAGGACAGATTATCCTGATATTAGTGTATAGTGTTTGCTTCAAGAAAACTTATGTTTCTCTCTTTTCTTCCTGCCTACCTTGGTGCTCTGATAGTTTCAAAGAAAGCATGGAGAAATCGTCGTACTCCGACTGGCTAATAAATAATAGCATTGCTGAGCTGGTTGCTTCAACAGGCCTCCCAGTGAACATCAGTGATGCCTACCAGGATCCGCGCTTTGATGCAGAGGTAAGAGGAGCCCCTCTGGCTGCAATCCTAAGGTTCGGTTGTCACACTGTTGAAAACAGTTGAAACACAAAAAGGAACATTATACAGATCGACAGCAATTCCTGAGTTTACTGGTAATTATTTTGCATCCTTCCCCTGTGATCTTATTTTTAGCATTGCCTGTTACTGACTTTAAGTTAGAAAAACTTAGAGTCTACCCTGATTTATAGCAAAACTTAGAGTCTACCCTGATTTATAGCAAGACGGTTATCCTTAGTCTGATGCTGTTTTATGATTGGGTATATTTTGTATTAAACTATGAACTACTTAATAAAGAAGTGTATATAACAAAGTTATTTCCCAATAGACCCTAAAACAACTACCATGTTTATAAAAATTGCTCCCAAGAAATAGTAAGTTGGTGTTATTGTTTAATAATAATTATCTAAGCACACTGTGTTGATATACAGAATATATTAAAACAATTTTGAAGTTTACATTCTAAGGTAGTGTAGAGTATCATACAGATAAATTCACATGAACTGATAATGTCTCTATGTACATATGTGTAGTGTATATATATACACACACATACATATATACATATTGATTAAATGCAAGGCTTCCTATTGAAGATTGCCCAGCTGAGCTCTGAAGAGTAGCAGGCATTTTTTTGGTAAGGAATGGTGAGGAGACATGTGTTCCAAGCAAAGCTGAGCAGACATGGGGTGTTGGGGAAGTGAGATGGTCTAATGTGGCTGAAGGGCCATGATCCATGAAACTGGAGAGGGAAGCAGGGATCAGATCACCAAAAGACTTTGAAAGGCATGTTAAGAAGTTGGAGTATTTGTTCTGTGCAATGGGGAACCACTGAGTTGTAAATGGGGGAGAAGCAAGAGTTATATTTTAGAATGATCACACTGGCTACAAAGCAGGGGATAGGTTAGTAATGATAACAACTGAACAGTTAACCTTCAACCCTGAGAAGTAGATGTCATCATTCCCATTTTACAGAAATTGAGAGCTGCTCTATGGCTCTGGAGGCAGACAAAGATTCAGTCCTACTACCACCCAAACTCCACAGCCCATACTCTTAAATCCTGCCCTATGCTGTCTCCATTGTCTGTGGCCAGGACATGGTGATGGCAGGGAGGCTGGGGTCCAAGTCTAATTTACAACTTCAGTCAGATCATCTTTGCAGATCTCTGCAGGAAAACCTTATATTCCCAAACTTACCACCTACCTGTAGCTGCCTAGAACTCTCTTCCCCAGGCTACATTTTCCATGTATTTTCTATTCCTTCTTGAGGTTAGAGGCTCCTAAATCCTTACATGAACTCCTAGTCTGGGTGGGGCGCCTTTCCAGCTGCTCCCTTGGCTATCCTAACACTGACTACCCTCTAGTTCTCCTCAGTTTTTATACATTAAATCTGAAATTCGAGTTACCTTCCTTAGGAAAGTTCACAGTTCAAAGTCCTTCAGTTCTCCTCTGGTAAGGTAGAACGCTACTCATTTGGTTATATGACTGGCACACTGAAAGTGATTTACAGATGTCAACATTTATATACTTTTCCATTGTGGTTGGGTTAGGACTGATTTTATGTACTTTTGCCTTGTGCTGTGTTTTTGTCTTCCTTGAATTTGAACTCACCAGTTCTTTGTTTTTCTATATCGTTTCATTGCACGTTTGAATCCCCACCAAATATATTGTTATATTTTTCATGTCTCTGAACATTGCGTAAATTGAAAAATACTATATGTATTAGTCTGTGGCTTACTTTTTTTTCCTCTCAACATCGTTACTGGGTTATGTAAACATGTAATGTATTCATTTATTTTCACTGCTGCAAGTATTCTACTGTATGAATAAGCCTCGCTTTGTTTATCCACTATAGTGTGACTGAATGTTTGGATTCAGTGAGTTACTGTCACATATATAATTGCAAGGACATTCTTGTACATGTTTCTAAGTGCTGAAGTGTAACAGTTTTCCTAGAATTCATATCTAGGAGAATGACATGCTGGATCATAAACTACAAGCATCTTTTCCTTTACCAGGGAATAAAAAATTCTTGTCCAATCATTGCTCTTTTTTTCTTATCAAAAATACCACATTGAGTAAGCACAATTAATATCTCAAGCATACTTCTTGCTATTACAATATAATGAGTTTGAATATACCATATCATTTTACTACAGGCAGATTTTTACCATATCCTTTTCTGATTGGTGATACAGCCATATTACATTTTCCTCCATGCTCATAGTCCAGTCCAATAAGGCAGTCTGTTCTGCTGATCCATAAAAAGAACAATGTGGAGTCTCCAAAGGCAAAAAGACAACAATTATTTCTGTGGGATTGGGCATAAAAATTTCATGTCCCTATCTAGTGGTTAGAAGCAATGATGTCTGAAGACAGTAAACTGTGGTAGGTTAAGCAGTGACTCTTTCATGAAATCACTTTCTTCTCTATGATAAAATAAAGCATGAACTTAAACCATCATTATTTGTTAGTCCCTCACCCAAACGCTTTCAATCTTCGTGGCAGCAAATACTAAATTTTAATTGCGAATCTGGATATGCATTGTATGCTGATTTTTACATATTTTCTTTGCATGGTACTGAAATTCAAAGGTAGTTTACATTTCTCTTCTCATTCTGAGAGAAAAAACTGGAAAGGAATTAATGCACATAAAGGTGATAGAGAGGTTGGGGATGGAAGAGAGAGAGACAGTGAAAGAGAAAGAAAAGAAAAGAAAGAAAGAAAAGAAAGAAAGAAGAGAGAGACTGTGTTCTGTCTAAATACAGACATTTAGTAGATATGTCCTATAAATGTGTGTGTATATGTTGTGTATGTATGTTGTGTGTATGTACGTGTGTCTTATGTATCATACTAGGTCAAGCAAAACTATTTATCTGCTTATGCTTCCTCTCTCCTCAATTATATTTTACCTCAGGGACAGGTGGCAACTGTTGATTAATAATAAATGAAACAGACTCAAGACTGAGTCACAGGGCTCTCCCAAGAGGCTAAGAGACCTGAACCTTTTCCCCACAATGCCTGATGTAAGGTAGTATAGATCATAAGATAAAGACAATCATTTCAGGTAATATTTTTTCATTAGTGTATCAAGTATTTCCCTCAAGATAAAAAAAAATCATGACAAAATGAAATTGCTTCATACTTTCACCCCGTTGTAACCATCTACACAGATAAAACAAGACCACGGCATTGCATTAAAGAAAGAGTTTAATAGACATGAGGCCAGTCACACCACGTGGGAAATGGAGTTATTACTCAAATCAATCTCCCCGAGAATGTGGGGGCTAGAGTTTTTCAAAAATAATTTGTGGGAAGGGGTGGGGGTAGCTAGGCAGTGGGTGCTTACTTCCAACTGATTGGGGGTGTAATCACAGGTCTGTGGGAAATGGTCCTCATGTGTGCTAAGTTGCTTCTGGATGGGGCCACAGGAGCAGTTGATGGGTCCCCGTGGAGACTTTGGTCTCCTCAGATGCGCAAAAAACCTGAAAAGACATCTCCAAAGGCCAATCTTAGGTTCTACAATAGTGATGTTATCTGCGAGAATAATTGGAGAAGTTGCATATCTTGTGACCTCCAGAATAATGGCTGGTAATCATTTATGTCTACACCTTAGCAGAATTCAAGCTTCTCTTTCCTCCTAGCCTGGTGCCCTTTCATTAACTTTACAAAGATGATTGAGCTTTGGAGAGAGAAAAGCTATTATTATTTACTATCAACTAAATGTCTCCCAAAGTTAGCCTGGGCAAAGCCCAGAAATAATTAAGGGCAGCTTGAAGGACAAAGGCAAGATGGAGGTTGGCCAGATCAGACCTCCTTCACTGCCATAATTTTCTCTCACTGTTATAATTTTTGCAAAGGTGGTTTTACCACCCTTAAAAATGATTCTAGAATCATCCTAGAGACAGAGAGCACCTTTTGGAATTGTGTTGCCTTCCTGCAAAGGTCTGAGTCCTTTCTTGTTGAGTCTGGTACATGGGTCCATATTTTTCCCCAGTTGAATAGTTATTTGTCAGTGGTATAATATTAAAAACTTTTTTTAACCCAGGATTAATTGATGATTATTTTCTCCACTGAAAAAAGTGCTTGCTTTTTTGTTCTCTGCACTGACTTCTCTGAATAGTTTCAGGTTGGTTAACAAGAAAGATAATTTGCAAAGAGGTAGCATGGGGAATCCTTTTCAGAGCATTTCCTATATTTCCAACAAATTTTCTCAACTTAAGTGTACCTAATGGATTTAAATTTGCCAGAAACACAATTATTCAGAGCACTAATGATGCAGCTTTTTTTTTTTTTTTTTTGTTCCTTAGCTCAGCTAATCTGGGTTCTTGCACATAGACACATTGAAAGGTGAGGAGGACAGAATTTATTAAGCAAAAATAAAGCTCTTAGCAGAGAAAGGGGGGGTCCTGCAAGCAGGTTTCCACCTCACAAATTGAATACCGGGACCACCACACATGAGTTGAAGAGGCCAGGGTCCTCCTTGCATAAGGTGTTAATTCCTGGTGACTCCACTCCATTTCCCCAGAGCATGTGGGCCTCCAGTCCACTGCAGGCATGCAGGCAAGCCCCCTGTGCAGGTTCCCTTATCTGTACAAAACAACTGGTGTAAACACTTGTGGGGCGGGTCAGAGATTCTCCAGGGACCCATCTCTGTCTGCCTCTTGCCTCTATCATAATTCCTTCTCCAAAGAGGTACATCTAACTGCCATTAGAATAGGGACAAAGACAGATCTTAACTGCTTCCTGCTGACAGGGGGCACTATTTTGGGAAGATGGCAGTCAGATCTCCCTCAGAGGCCTATCTAAGGGTCCCCAGTAAAAGGGAGCCATCGTCTGAGGTTCTGGTTGCATGACCGTTTGGAGTTCGATGACCTAAAGGGGAGAAAAGAAAAACTTGGTTATTAGAAGATGTATCAAAATGAAACAAAAGTGGAGGGTAAGGAGAGCTCAAAAATCCCAAGGCTGCTGGCATGCCAAGA